GTTTTGCATTTTATTTTCCAATTGTGGTTGTATGGAAGTTGATTTGGTATACTCATCTTGTATCCTACAACTTTGCCAAATCACTTATTAATTCTAGTAATTATTTTTCAGATTCCTTAGAGTTAGGTACCAAAAAATAATTTTTAAGTGAATAAAAACAATTTTAGTTCTCTCTCTCTCAATTTCCTTTTATTTCTTTTTCTTGACTTATTGTGCTGAGTAGGACCTTCAGTACACCTGTTACAATAATGAAGTGGCTATGGGGCACCTGGCTGGCTCAGTTGGTAAAGTGTGGGACTCTTTTTTTTTTTTTTTTAAACGTTTATTTATTTATTTTGAGACAGAGCTGGGGAAGGGCATAGGGGGAGAGGGAGAGAGGGAGAGAATCCCAAGCAGGCTCCACGCTGTCATCACAGAGCCCAACACAGGGCTTGATCTCACAAACCATGAGATTATGACCTGAGCTGAAATCAAGAGTCAAATGCTTAACCAGCTGAGCCCCATCAGGCACCCAAAGTGTGGGACTCTTGATCTTGGGGTTGTGGGTTTAGGCCCCCATGTTAGGTGTAGAGTCACTTAAAATCTTTAAAAATAAAATGAAGTGGCTAGAGTGAACATTCTTGCCTTGTTCGCAATATTAGGAAACTCCCAATATTTCACCATTATATAAAATACTAGATGTAGTTTTTCACTCATCCTATTTATCAGATTGAAGGGAGTTACGTTTAATTCTTAGTTTGCTGAGAATTTTGTCATGAATGGTGCTGAATTTTCTCAGATTTTTTTTCTGTATCTGTTCAAATGGTTATATGCTTTTTATTCTGTTAATATAAATTACATTGATTGGTATTTAATTTGAAACATTTCTTGGATAAACCACATGATCATAGTATATTACCCTTCTTATATACTGTTGGATTCAATTTGTTGTTTTGCATCTGTATTCATGAGGCTGATTTTCTTTCCTGGTAATATCTTTGTCAAGTTTTGGTATTAGGGATTTGCTTATTTAATAAAGGGAGGGGTGCCTGGGTGGCTCAGTCGGTTGAGCATCTGACTCTTGGTTTCGGTTCAGGTCATGATCATGGTTTGTGAGTTCAAGCCCTGTATTGGGCTCTGTGCTGACAGTGCAGAGCTTGCTTGGTATTCTCTCTCTCCCTCCCTCTCTCTCTGCCCTTTGCCTGCCCATTCTCTCTCTCTCTCTCTCTCTCTCAAAATAAGTAAAAACTTAAAAAAAATTTTTTTTAAAATAAGACAAGTTAGGGAGTATCTCTCTTCTGTTTTCTAGAAAGTATGTAAGATGGTTATTACTTCCTTAAATGGTTGCTAGAACCCACCAGTGAAGCCATTTGGGCCTAGAGTTTTGTTTTGATTTTTGTGGTTTTTTGTTTTGTTTTTGTTGTGTTTTAATTATGAAATGTTTTCTTTAGTAGATGGGTTTCTATTTATTTTTATAGTTGGAGTAATTTTAAGGGATTTTTCATTTTATCTCAGTTACTGAATTGATTTGCATTATGTGAACATTATATTTGTAGGATATGAAGTGATATTTCCCCTTTTATTTCTGATATCAGTAATTTGTGTTGCCTTTTGTTTTTCTTGAACAGTCTTGCTAAAAGCATAAATGATTTTTTTTTATCCTTTAAACTGTTGGTTTTAATTTTTTTGAATTGTCTAATCTTTGGCTTGAGTATTGTTTTGACTTGAAGTTCACTAACTTGTTTTTGTGCCATCTCAAATCTATTAACTAATAATAGATTCAGCCTATCCAGTGAATTTTTAAGTTTTGATATTTAACTACCTAGTTTTTGAAGTTTCATTTCTGTCTGTTTCCATTTGCTGTCAATATTTCTTATCTGTTCACTCATTATAACATGTTGAATATACTTGTATTAACGGCCTGAGCATCCTTGCCAGTTAATTCTGTCTAGATCATCTTGTAATAGGTTTTCCTCCTGTTCTTGAGTTACAGTTTTTATCTTCTTTGCATGTTTAGTAATTTTTTGTTGTATATTGGATTTTGTTGATGGTATTGTAGATTTTTTTTTAAGCATATTTATTTTTGTTCCAGATAACTAGCTTGTAAAAATACACTTACCATATAACCCAGCAATTGCATTTCTGGGTATTTATCCTAGAGAAATGAAAACTTATGTTCACACAGAAACCTGTGCACAAATGTTTATAGCAACTTTATTTATAATTACCCCAAAAAGAATACATCCCATTTGTACTTCGACAGGTGGGAAAAAAACAAAAAACTGTATCTCCATACCGCGGAGCAATGAAAAGGAACAAACTATTGATATATTCAACAAATTGGATGGATTTCATGGGTATTATGTTGAGTAAAAAGAAAACAAGCCAATCTAAAATGTTTCCATACTGTCTGATTCAATTTTTGTAAGATTCTCAAAGTGAAAAAATTATAGAAATAGAGGACAGATAAATGGTTGCCAGCAATTAAGGAAAGGGGAGGAGGGTGTGATTATAAATAGCGAAAGGGAATCTAAGTTGTGGTATGGTGTATGGATCTGTACATGTCCTAAAATGCCATAGAATTATAAACAAAGATATGCAAAAAACAAAATATGATTGCATGAAAATGGCAAAATCCAAGTAAAGTCTATAGTCTAGATAATTGTATTGTGCCAATCAGTTTCTCGGCTTATGATAATACACTGCAATTATGTAAGTTGTCACCATCGGGGTAGGTGAGTGGTGAGTACATGGGATCGCTCTGTACCACTTTTGCTACTTCTTGTGAAGATGAGAGGCTCTAAGGATTTCAAAATAAAATTTAAAATACATTACTGACGGATCACCTTGAAATTACAGAGGTTTGGTTTTTATACTTTGTCACACCAGATGTTATTTCAGTTTTGCCCTTAGCCTTAGGAGAATCCTTATTCCTGGAATATAGTCTTTACCCTGAGATGTGGCCCTTCTGTGGTTTCTGTGAGAAGTCAGTTGTGTTCACCAGGCCCTTTTAACTTGGCAGGATTCAAAATCCAAACTGTGTCTTTCCTGTGGTAGGAAGCCGAAATCTCTGTTCAGCTTTTTAGTCTTCCAGCTGTTGCCTTCTGTTGGGCTATTTGGAGTCTCCCAGTGCATGAGCAGTTCAGGGACCAGCCAAAGATTTGAGCATTTGTGGACAGATTTAAGCTCCCCCTGCCCTGTACTGTACTACCCTTCCTACCATGATTTTCCCCTCCTATTGTCTAGCTTTCTGTCAGCTCTTAGATGCCAATGAGACTGTGGTTTTCTTCTTTAGCCCTAGCCTCCCAGTACTTAAGGGGGATATACTGGGAAGAGTTTTCTTAAGGTAGAGTTGTACGAATACATCTCATCTCAGTATGGTTCCTTTCTTTTAATAATCAAATACCCTACGTTTCTGCCGGCTGTTGGTCACTTTCAGTATCTTTAAACAGTTACTTTTAACTTTTTAAAAAATTTTTAGTTTTTTTTTTTTTTTTCAACGTTTATTTATTTTTGGGATAGAGAGAGACAGAGCATGAACGGGGGGAGGGGCAGAGAGAGAGGGAGACACAGAATCGGAAACAGGCTCCAGGCTCTGAGCCATCAGCCCAGAGCCCGACGCGGGGCTCGAACTCACGGACCGCGAGATCGTGACCTGGCTGAAGTCGGACGCTTAACCGACTGCGCCACCCAGGCGCCCCTTTAAAAAATTTTTAAATGTTTATTTTTGAGAGCGAGAGCAAGAGCGAGAGACCGTGAATGGGGGAGGGGCAGAGACAGAGGGAGACACAATCTGAAGCAGACTCCAGGCTCTGAGCTGTCAGCACAGAGCCTGATTGGTGGGGGGCCGGGCCGGCGCAAACTCATGAACCTTGAGATCGTGACCTGAGCTGCAGTCAGTGGCTTAACCAACTGAGTCACCCAGGAGCCCTTGAACAGTTATTTTAATATTTTGTCCAGAGTTAATAATTGTTATCTAAGGGCAAATTAGTCCAATATGAGATAGTCCATTATGACTGGAACCAAAGCTCAACGAATTTTATTTTTAAGTATTACGAATATAAAAAGTTTGTAAAGGGGCACCTGGGTGGCCCAGTTGATCATCTGATTCTGCTCAGGTCACGATCTCACGGTTCATGAATTTGAGCCCTGCGTTCGGTTCTGTGTTGACAGTGTGGAGCCTAGAGCCTGCTTGAGTTCTGTGTCTCCCTTGCTCTCTACCCATCCCCCACTCATGCTCTGCCTGGCTGGCTCACTCTCTCTCTCTCTCTCTCTCTCTCTCTCCCGCGCGCGCGCGCGCGCGCGCGCGCGCGCGCGCGCTCTCTCAAAAAGTGAATGAACATTAATAAAAAAGTTTATAAAGTTTTTCAGTGAAAAATTTGAAAGTGGGATGCCTGGGTGGCTCAGTCGATTAAGCCTCCGCCTCTTGATTTCGGCTCCGGTCATGATCTTACAGTTCGTGGGTTCAAGTCCTGCATGGAGCTCTGTAGTGACAGAGCCTGACTGGGATTCTCCTTTTCTCTCTGCTTCTCCCCTGCTCACTCTCTTTCTCTCAAAAGTAAATAAGTAAACATTTAAAAAAATTCAAAAGTAAAATATCATAGTAACTTTAATGCATAGTAAGAAGTATTACAAAAATCAAAGAAAGTATTCAATGAAAACTGAAAATATGAACAATCAGTATTTTAATTAAAAAGAAGAATAAACATGCAAATGCAGCCAGAAAAAAAATTTTTAAAGACATATAAATGACTTTCAGAAGATTAAGGGCAGAATGTAATTATGTATTACCTAAGCAGCAGCCTTAGATAGGAATACATATTTAATCACCAGAAAGGACTTCAGCTGTAAAATCAGATCTTCATCCATTGTCTTTTGGAAATATTTTTCCATTTGGCTTTAAAAGTTGTATTTTCTTTCTTTATGCAGCATTTCTGACCTTTGTCATTTCTTAGAGACTAAAACAACAAAAACAACAATCTAACCTCCCTTCTGCTTTTATTTTTTTCTTCTCCTTTTAGTTTGCATAATTGGCCTTAAATGAGGTGAGAGTGAAGAAACTAGAGCCATCTCTGGATACATCGCTACCCCACTTCCCTGTAAGCTACCCTCCGGAGTGCTAGATTTGACCATATCTGTTTTGAGGACTCATTATGAACAAAGACGTCTCCCAGGTGGGAATTGTAACTCTGCTTTTAAAGAGCTTTGTTTATACAAAAGTATGAAGGGAAAATGATTACCGATGGAAATATGGTTTTGATTTAAAAGTTTCAAAGTTACTATAAAACATCTGCTGACATTCCTAAATGAAAATGTTCTAGATTACACTTTATGAACCACTTTAATGCACACTGAAATGAATATAGGGTTCATATGAATATTTTACACTGAGAACCTCCTCATTGAATTAAAAATGGCAAGCAGAAAAACTATACTGAACCGTCCCTAGATTTGGTCTGTATATTTCTAACATGTGTGCAGTCATTCAGTCTCTATTTGGTGCCCATTTTTTTTACATTTGGGCATTTTTACATAGCCGATTTCGAAGAGTTTGTGAGCTCCCTGAGGGAATAGTTCTTGTGTGTCCACAAAGATGACAATGATCACAGAAGAGCGTATGTTAGAAAGATAAACATGCACTAAGCCAAGACAGTAGGTAAAAAGCTGAAGATTAATCAGAAAATTATAGATCAGTAAGTGGACTTTTGGCAGGAGGCTTTTTAAAATTAATAGATTTTTTAATTGAATTATAGCACTATACAGATAAAAGTTACAGATTTTAAGTGTAGAACTCCTGAATTATCATGTGCCAAACATATTTGTTAAACAGGTTAAGAAGTAAAACAATATCAGCACCCCAGGAGCTTCCCTCATCCTTGTCCCAGCTGCACACCCACCTACTCACTTTTAAAGGAGAAGACGGTTGTCACCGTGGAGTGATAGCTGTCAGCTTGAAGAGTGGGCTTTAACCACCATAGATGTTAAAGGCAGTTAGATTTAGTTGGCTGACAAACAATACCTGTGTTCGGGATAAACAATGAATTTGGGAGATGGAGGCGAGACTATCTGTTGGCAGCAGAGTGCTTTAAAGCAGGGGCTGGAGGTGCAAAATAACCCTACTGCCTCTCTCTTTAAAGTCTCATTGGTAAGGGCACCTGGGTGGCACAGTTAAGCGTCCGACTTTGGCTCAGGTCATGATCTCGTGGTCCATGAGTTTGAGCCCCACGTCGGGCTCTGTGCTGACAGCTTGGAGCCTGGAGCCTGCTTTGGATTCTGTGTCTCCCTTGCTCTCTGCCCCTCCCCAGCTAATGTTTGTCTTTTTCTCTCTCTCTCTCAGAATAATAAGCTTTTTTTTTAATTTAACAAAAATAAATAAAGTCTCATTGGTTTCTAGAACACACTCCAGATTTCTGGCTTTCATTTAACTGGAGATACATTTATTAACTTGTATTTTCTATTATTTGAAATCAGACTATTGATTCCCAATGGAGAGAGAGAGAGAGGAGTTTATATTTATGAAAGAGAAAGGGAGAGAAAACAGAATCATCTAGTGACTGAACTCTGGCTTAGGTGTGTTTTTCTTTAACTCCTTCTTCATTGAGTGACTCTAAGAAGTCTCTTTTCTTCATATCACAATGAAGATTTTTATCTTCTCTATTTCTCCTTAACATTTATCAAAATAATTTTAAACCTGCCACATCGTTGCAAGATTGGTAGGCCCTGTATATTGCCCATTGCCCACTTTCACCAGTTTGAAACATTTTGTTACGTTTGCTTTATCTCTCTGTATATTTGCTACTATTTCTGCTGCTGCTGCTGCTGAATCATCTGAGAGGAAGTTGTAGACATTTACGTTCTTCCACTCCTAAATATTCAGTGTGTTTCTCCTGCTTAACCACAACATAATAATGAAATTCAGGAAACAACATTTTCATTATTATTATTATTATTATTATTATTATTATTATTATTATCACATTTAGAGTTCGTATTAAATTTTTATCAGTCCTCTGATCCAGATTCACCCATTGTGTAGTTGTTACATCTCTTTGGTTCCTTTAACCTGGAATCAGCTTTTCTTTGTCTTCCATAAAATGGACATTTTGGGAGAGTACAGGTCAGCTGTTCCGTATAGTAGCACTCATTTTGAACTTGATATCTGTTTCCATCTTTGTTCCTTTCTAAAGAGACTATGATATGGGACTTTGGAGATTCATGGATTTGTTAACTGAGAATCTTATATGGTAGAACAAAGCCTGTAAAGATTTTTTTCAGGGGAAAGTCTGTTGAAACATGGTGGGAGCCCAGAATTCCAGAAGGTAGATTCCTAAAGATGATTTGGATGTTATTGAAAAGAATTTTATATGTGTGTGGATGTATATATATGATCTTAGAATCCAAGATTTATAAATTTTTGGACAAAAATTAGGGTTTGTATGGCAAAACTTTTTGAAGGAATAACACGTTTATATTTTAAGGTAAATTACATTTATAAGAAATAATTGGTTTTAATTATAATGATGAGAGAAGTCAGGATTGGGTATCCAATCAATTTTATTTATTTCTGTGTGACGTTTGGATGAAGAATTGAGAAGGCTCTCTGTTCATGTGTTTGAAACTCCCTGTAAATACCACCCAGGATTTCTACAGGTGGCACAATTTAATGTCAGCTTTTCTGAGAGAACTCCTAATGAAGAAGCATTTTAATGTAGAAGCAAAAGCAAATATTGGGAATCTGTTGTTGGCTTTTTACTTCTCAGTTATGTGACTATAGATTAGTTATATGAGTTAAAGCATAGCCAGATTCTGGAGCCAAATTACTTAATGATTTTTACCTCTGCTACTTATGATGTTAAGCAGATCAAGTAATGTTTCTATGCCTCAGTTTCCTCATTTCTTACAATCTGTAAATAGGTTATAAAGTTACCTGTCTCATACTTTATGAGTGAATTGAATTAGTAAGGTTTATGAGTAAATAATGTAAATTCCAGGGTGCCTGGGTGGCTCAGTCGGTTGAGCGTCCGACTTCAACTCAGGTCATGATCTTGCCATTTGTGAGTTCGAGCCCTGTGTCGGATTCTGTGCTGACAGCTCAGAGCCTGGAGCCTGCTTCGTATTCTGTGTCTCCTCCTCTCTCTGCCCCTCCCATGCTCATGCTCTGTCTCTCTCTCAGTAATAAATAAGTGTTAAAAAATGTAAATTCGATGGTTAGAACAATGGTTGGCACATAGTAAATCCTGTGTAAGTGTTGGTCATCATCATTGTTACCTTTATCATCATCATCATCATTGTCAGTAGTTTGTAAGATAAAATTGTTGAACTCAGTGATTCTGTAAGTAGAAATGATAATGCATACTTCATAGGGCAGTTGTGAAGAGTAAATGAGTTAATACATAATAAAATACTTAAACTGTACACACACACACACACACACACAATTCTTATTATTATATTGTCCTATCTTGTAATTAAATGCATGTTAATAGGCCTACTGTTTTGTGAACAATTTTTATTATTTTTTTCTGCTCAAATTCTTTGTTACTGACTTGATACTGTGAAAATGGGAACAGGCAAGATAGGCATTTTGTATATTCTTAAGTGGCCTATAGTCAAAAAGTTTGAGAAACAGTGTACTAGATGACAATTGCTGGGGTCCCTCTGATTCTGAAATTTTGAATCTGAGTCTCCAGTTTAAAATTTATAAGTCTTACTGGGGCGCCTAGGTGGCTCAATTAGTTAAGTGTCCAACTTTGGCTCAGGACATGATCTCGCGGTCCATGGGTTTGAGCCCCATATCAGGCTCTGTGCTGACAGTTCAGAGCCTGGAGGTTGCTTCGGATTCTGTGTCTCCCTCTTTCTCTGACCCTTCCCAGCTCATGCTCTGTCTCTCTCTCTCTCTCTCTCAAAAATAAAAAAAAAACATTAAAAAAATTAAAAAAAATTTATAAGTGTTTCTCTCATAGGTGTTATTCTGTTGAGAACACTGGAAAGTGAAATTTGAGTTTCACTTGTTTCGAGTTGGCCATTTGTTGGGCATTGTACTGGAAGGGATATGACTAGAGCAATTAGTATGATCATTGAGGAAATATAAATGCTACTTAACTAGCTATTCACCTGAGATACTTGGGGAATTTTTTTTTTTGGTTTCCCCATGGGTATCAATAAGGTTTTTGCCAAATATAAATGAATCAAGTAGGATGACTTAAGTTTTAAGCTAGGCTTTAAAAAATGCATATTCTGCAAATTTGGGTAATGAGGATTGTATGTACATTTGTATGGTGATTTCGTTCAAGCCACTTCTGCTCCAGCTAGGGGGATGATCCCAAAATTAACTGGAGGCTTTACCTGACTTGATCATTTTCTAGTGCCCTCAAAATATAATTTCATTGTTTTGGCAAATTATTAACCCATGCAGCTTGGTACTTCTACTGCCTTATAATGTTAAGGATCAAATTTCAGTATGTTTATTTTTCTTTTACTGATTTATATATGTACATTTAACCATACTATATTCTGAAATGAGTTTCTGAAATATTTTGTGGGAAATTGAACAACTTCTGATCAGATATTGGAATAATTTCACGTAGTAAATGTGATTTTGGGTTTGGATAATCATCTGTAGATTATCTGTATCTAAAGCTGATCTTCATTCTCTTCTGGCCACTGATCTTCGTTCTCTTCTGCTCATTAGTTTCTGAATCTGTGAAGGAGAATGGAATTGACGGAAAAAGAGAGAGAGTGAAATTTTTATCACTTAGTTTTTACATCTATGACCACCATTTTCAAGGCTGTTACCTCTTTGCTAAACTATTACAAACTCTTCTCCTGTGCACATGCAAGTAAATATCAAACACTTATTTCATTGTTTACACAGTTAAAGAGAGCTGTGGCTAGGAAGACCGATTTTAATCTTTTTTTTAATTTCTTTTTTATTTTTATTTTTGGGACAGAGAGAGACAGAGCATGAATGGGCGAGGGGCAGAGAGAGAGGGAGACACAGAATCGGAAACAGGCTCCAGGCTCTGAGCCATCAGCCCAGAGCCCGACGTGGGGCTCGAACTCACGGACCGCGAGATCGTGACCTGGCTGAAGTTGGACGCTTGACCGACTGCGCCACCCAGGCGCCCCTTTTTTTTTTTTTTTAAAGAAATACCAACATATCTTCCACAAGTTA